CTTTCGTAATTTTATTAAGATCTACGTGAATTGTATGAGAAAAATTGTTGCGTTTTCTTTTTCTTTGTACTTACGACTACTTGTTTTAATATTGTAGCCTGAAAAGGACCCAATTCCAGGATCGAAACGTTGCCTATTCAATAAATAACCTTTTATTATTAGCCAGTATGGTCAATTTAAACTCACAACCTTGGTTTATATCGTTTAGAGAAATTTTAACAGCTTGGAGAAAAGTTAATTTTCTAAACATTTTATTATATTTTAAAAATATTTCTTACACTTTTACAACAACATAGATATTTATAATCTATTTGATGAAGGATCTATTTAATATAAAACACAGGGTTTGCGAAAAGTGCCGAAACAATCTAAAATTTCGGAAAAGAATTTAAAAAGTATATTTTAAATAAAAAGTTTAGTGTTTGAAAGATTCCATTTAGAAGATTGAATAGTTTGATTTTAAATGGCGTTAGCGAAATCTTATCAAAGACTTTTTGAATTTTTTAAAATGAAACTGTCATATTTTCTTTTTATATAAATCGATTCTTTGTAATATTTGGCATAAAAATTATAAGAATGACCAAAAAGTGAATAGTTTGAGATATTTTATATTTTAGTTTGATACAATCTTACATGAACAAAATATATAATATATATATATTCTAAAATACTCATTCTCCGATGATCTTATCTCAATACTTTCATACACTAAATAATGAAAAGAGTCAACTATTAGTATAAGGAGAACAATTATTTTTAAGAAAAAAATTAAACTTGCAATTAGTAGTTACATTTTTTTTCTTGAAAACAACTGTCTTTTTTTATTCTAATTGATTATTTTATGCATAAACGTATTGAAGTAAGATCATCGAAAACTAAATATTTTATGTTATTTCATAATTTATGTAAGATTATGTCAAATTAAAATATGAAATATCGTAAATTAATTCACTTTTTGACTATCCTCTCCTTATAACCTTTTATAGAATATTGTAAGAAATCGATTTATATAAAAAAAATATGATTTTATTTAAAAAATTCAGGATGACCTTGGTATGACCTTGGTAATATCATCTAAGATCAAATTGTCAAAATCACTAAATGGGTTCTGTTAAACACTATACTGTTTGTTTAAAACATTTTTTTATAAAATACTTCCTTTTCGAAATATTAGACCGTTTCTGGACTTTATTCATATCCTTTATTTATTATAATAAGTCTAAATATAGAAGATTAGCCTTTTTTTCTATCTGATTATTATGATTTTATTAATTTTATCTGTGATTTCATAGACAATAATATCGAGATTTTAATAACTTCAATATTCCGCAAGTATAAAACAAAACTTTGAGATTTTAATTTGTCAAAAGATGTGAGATTAGATCAAATGTTTTTTTGATAATCAAAAAAATATGTGGAAAAGTTAAAAAGCAAATGGACATTTTAGAAATCAAATTAACTTAATTTAATTAATTACTAAAAGTAAAATGTAGGTAATTAATCCTCTCGTCACTTTTATACAATCAGTCTACCTCTTAATAAGCTTTAGAATTCTGTCCTGCAAAAAATCTTTTTGATCTTGTACGCAGTCACTCTTTTGCACCAACACTAAACTCTTTACTCTCTGGTTTAAAGTGGACTCGTGTCTCGTCAACAGTTATATGTGTCAAATTTCCAAACGATTCTGTTTACGCAAGTCCGTCAGTTCACGTGGAGTCCAGCGAGTACAGACTTTTAGAAAATTCAGTGACTCATAGATGATTGAAAATGAGCTGAGCCTTGGCTAATATATAACTTATTTGCAATTTTGACTCCGATTATTCGATCAGTTGCCTTGATATTGACGTTGATCTTTGAAGTGAAAAGCTTACCTGAAGGCTCTTCATATCCACAGAGATAAATTTAGCTATTTTTGAAACGATCTATCCACTTATAGATCTGGCTTCGACTTAAAAACAACTCTCATCATACTGCTGTTGCAGTTTACAAATAATATCTGCAGTTTTCATTGAGTGAAGAAAACATATCACTGTTCACATTTCTTCCTTAATACAGTCAGACAACGAACTACTCATTTTAAGGACCAATTTCATCAAGATTAGATGAACTGACGGTTAAAATTAGTAGGATTACCAATAAAATCAAATAGAGTTTAAGGAAAACCAAGCATTCATGTCCAAGAGTTATCTAACCTAACCTAACCCTAACCATCCTATTAATTTTAACTGTCAGATCATCCAACTTGATGAAATTGGCCTTAAATTGATTTCAAATCACAGTTAACAATTAAGCGGAAAGCACACACTCTTGCATAAGCGCATAAGCATATGCATAAGAAATTCGATTGGTTGAATTTCTTATGCATATGTTTATAGACCAATAAAGATTCTTATGCTTACGCTTAAGCGTCTATGCAAAAGTGTGTGTTCCCCGCTTTACTATGAGCATATATAAGGATATTTTGAAGTTATAATCAATAAAATAGCAGCCAACCATCTAATCTGCAAAATAAATTAAATATTCTTATTGTATACATGTATATATTTTTTTATTTTCCCTAGATTAATAAATTTAATTATAACGACTAATATAACACCAAATATGCGATATCATCTATTATATTTACTACTATATAAGTGTCTTATAAGTTAATTTAGTAATCTAAACGACCGTAATGTTATGATCTAAGATATTAAAATTAAAGATTATATTAATCCAATTGTGATCTTAGGATGCTAAATTTACTCTATATAAGTGATCAGATATTGCGAGAGAGTGTCCATGAATTATGTATTATATACTCGGAACTTTATAAATCCGCGGATGTGAGACATGAAGGTGTTACGCCGCGACGACTAGACTGCTCTGTTTAATTATGAGCTATGAATATTCGATTAGCCATTATTCACTTGAGAGAATAATACCCAGATCGTTCTTGCACACACATCCTCCAATCGTCATATGAGACGGCCTTCCTTTTTCCTCGTGTTTTCTCAACTGTATAGTTATACCTTTTGCGAAATTTGCGAATTGATGCCGCAATCAATATGTAATTTAATCTCGAACTTTTTATTTCATTGAGATCACGAAAAATCGATTAAGAATCCTATTTTAAAAGGTATATAGACTTCCCTGGCTTTTAAATTGGTACTTTCAATATGATCCTTTTAATAAAGGAAAGAGAAACAACGCGCAGTTTTCATTGAAATTATCACCTTTTGTTTAAAGTTTTTTATTAAAAAAGATTCGACGATAACAAAACTCGCTTTATTCAATTGATCAACGCCAAATCATAATTTAAAAAAAAAAAAACAAATTTTTAACACGTCCTTATAACGAAATAATTTTTATAAAATTGATCAACGCCAAATCATAATTTAAAAAAAAAAACAAATTTTTAACACGTCCTTATAACGAAATAATTTTTATAAAATTGTCAATCAATTACAAGTTTTTCACACACATTCTTCTTTAAAATTAAAATAAATTTTATTTAACTAAAACGAACTTTTTATATTATACAAAATCTTTTTTTATTGAAAAGAGAATTAATAATTTGAATAAAATTAAATTAGTTAATTTGGATAAAAATTTTACTTTGTTTACAAAAGAGAATAGTTTGCTTATAATATAAAAAAATTAAAATGCAAATATATTCATAAACTAAGAGAAAATCAGAAACAAAAAGTCGCTTTGATGAGATTTTAAAGAAATAAATAGGGTTTGAATCTTAATTCAATAGGTATATTAAAATATAAAATTTAATTTAATTTTAAATTTTACTTTGAAGAATTAATTGATTTTTAAAGGATATTTCAAGAAATTTCAAAGCATAAATTTGTGCATTTATGTGCATTTTATTTAAGTTTTGTAATTGAAAAAGAATTTGAAAATAAACTTTATATACTATTTTATTATGTACAACTCATAATCAACATGAAAAATTAAGTAAATTAATTATTCAATTGTTTTCTAACATTATTGATTAATTCAATTTTCTAAAATATAGTTTTAAGATTAATATTGCTTAACTGAAATTTTTCATATGATAAATACAATTTATAGCTTAAAGTTTAGTTTTAAATGTACTTTGTTAATAATAATTTTAATTTTATAAATAATTTTATAAATTTTAAAATATATAAAATAAAATAAGGAAGAAGCTATAGATAAGGAAGAAGAAATTTATTTTAAATAAGAATTATTATTATATTTTAAAAAGGAAAAATATACATAATTTCTAGAGAATATTCTAGCAAGGAATTTTATATATTATTTATAACTCAAATACTGTTTGTGATTTACTGGCTTATAAGCTCATCAAATCTCAAAGTAATTTATAATAGAATAACTTATCATATTACTTTAAGATCAAAAATGACGAAGAAGATTGGAAGGCGATGAAAACACTAAAACGTAATAATCGAACTAAAAAATAGCTGATTTTTTATGTCAGGCTAAGAACTCTCTCATAAAAATACTAATATACTTCATCATACAGTTAGAAATAGCATTAAAACTTAGTAGTAATTTTGTTGCACTTAAGGGTATAACTGAAAGCGTTTTTGCGACAAAGGCGTTCAGTATATTTTTACCCGCGATAATGCTTTCAGTTATACCCTTAAGTGCAACGAAACTAGCTTGTATTTTAACCGAAGCAAATAAATATTGTGAAAGAAGAAAAGTCAAAAATCTTTTTGATCACATCGTCGCTGACGCATTCCTTCCAGAGACACGTGTGGCGGGCACATGCCTTCAGCGTAATCATTACGCAACAAAGTTGGTCCTTTGAGCCGGATCTATTATCCGTTCATCTGTGCTTCGGAAGAAAAATGTGGAAGAACCCGGAAATCAAACGGGCGAAATTCTTCAACGCACTGTAAGCTTTAGGTATCGCAATAGGGGTATCAAATTACATCGCCGCGACAGGCAATATCTACTACAGTACGATCTTCCAAACGGCTGGCTGACATCATTCACGCAATCAGGCAGCTTCAAATATGTTGGAAGAAATCATCAACGGCATCCAGAAATTTATTCTGGACTACCAGACTGCAAGCATGACTAGCGACGCAGCAAGACCGATCGTAGCACAACTTGAAGAGCGTAAAAATAAATTAAACGAATATTGGTCGGATCACAATGACGTACAAATGCAATTTGAGTCACTCGACAAAAATGAAGCAAGTAATTGTGACAATTTTGAGGAAGCATTTTTTTCGTTATCCGGAAGAATTCGGGAGCTCATTAAACCCGCATTACCGAACTTAACGGAAGGCTCACGGTCTTCATCGCGCGCTTCTGGCATGGTAAATACTCATTTCAATGTTCGGTTGCCCAAACTAAATTTGCCGACATTTTCCGGAAAATACGATGAGTGGTTTCTCTTTCACGATTCTTTCAATTCTATTATACATTCCAATCGCACGCTAAATAATATACAAAAACTACAATATTTGAAATCTGCGCTAACCGGTGATGCGAGCAGTGTCGTAGACTCTTTAGAAATTAACGATTTAAATTATGATATCACGTGGAATCTTTTAAAGAAACGCTATAATAATAAACGCGTTGTCGTACAAACTCATGTAAAGACAATCATGGACTTGCCATCCATGCCTAAAGAAAATTTAGTTGATTTGCGACATATCGCTGACGGAGCGACTAAACACATCAAAGCATTAGAAGCGCTCGGGCGTCCTACTTCACATTGGGACGACTTGATCGTGCATGTTTTAAGCTTCAAATTAGATACACTCACAATGTGAGAGTGGCAATCGTCACTGACTGATACAAACCCTCCTACATTCGAAGAATTTAACGATTTCATAATCCGTCGTTGTCAAATGCTTGAGGCCACGGGAAAAACAATTTCTTTGTGCAACAAAAACGTTAATAAGCAGTCCAGCTTAAAGCGTCAAGCCTCGTGTATCGCGACAGTCAAGCCTAAATGTAATTTTTGTAATGGCAATCACGTCATATATTATTGCAAAGATTTTTTAACATTATCAGTATCGCAGAGGACAACAGAGATTTGCAATCGAAAAATTTGCGGCAATTGCATGCGTTCTTCGTCTCATGCGTCCGCCAAATGCACATCAAAGGGTTGCAGGATATGTAGCGCCAAGCACAACACGTTACTACCTTTGACAAACAATTCAAGCGCCAAGGAAGTCGAATCAACTGAGTCCAAGGATACAAATTCCGTAAGCTCGTCGACGACGCTGGTGACGCACGCCTACAGCAACAGCATTAAAAATCACATCATGCTCTCAACCGCAGTGATTAACGCTTCCCACGCCAGTGGATCAACGAGAACTTGCCGTGCGTTATTGAACAATGGGCAAATTTGATCTCTACAGATTTTATGAAGCTACTCGGATTACGGCCTCGACCTCTAAATATTTCTATATCGGGCATAGGTGATACGACTACGAAATCTACTCACGTAGTCAGGGTAAAGTTATAATCTCGGTACACTTCATACTCCGCTACACTTGACTGTATTGTTACAGATCGAATCACAGGTGATTCTCCGGCTTTCACTATTAAGAAGCATACTCGTATAACATTCCTCGCAACACCCTCTTCCGAACACCCGACATTGCAAAAAACGCAATTTGGTTGGATACTGGCTGGTCGTTTAAATAATCTACTGATGACATAACGTACAATCTTTCCACGCAACTCTCACTAACAATCAACTGCATAATCAATTATCAAAGTTTTGGGATGTACAGGACCTTCGTATCGTCTCCGAGCACACCAAGGCAGAAGCATTTTGCGAGGATCATTTTTTGGTTAACACTTCTCAAGACTCTTATGGTAGATACACAGTCAAACTTCCAGTTAACGAGTCATTGATCAATCAGCTTGGAGACTCAAAGAGCATAGCCTTGAAACGCTTGCGAAACTTAGAAAAACGCTTCTGTCGAGAGCCCGTTAAAGGAACAATATGCACGGTTCATTTCCGAGTATTTATCTCTAGGTCATATGAAACAAGTAAGTGAATTGCCGAACAAACACGAGCAGTCTTATTATTTGCCACACCATTGCGTGTTCAAAGGTTCAGGACCATCGTCAAAAATTTGCGTCGTTTTTGACGCTTCGTGCAAGAGCGCATCGGGCGTGTCATTAAACGATGCCTTAAGCGTTGGCCCGGTTGTGCAACAAGATTTAACATCGATCTTACTGTGATTTCGTACATTCGCGTACGTATTAGTAGCTGATATTGTAAAAATGTACAGACAAGTACTTATACATCCAACGCAAACGCGCCTGCAGAGGATATTATGGCGAAATGACCCATCTCTAAATGTTAATATTTATGAATTAATTACAGTCACTTACGGAACGTCCTCGGCATCCTTTTTGGCCACAAGATGTTTAAAAGATTTGACTGAGCGACACACATCGAAATTCCTAGCTGGATCGACACATCTACACGATTTCTACGTCGACAACATGCTCACTGGAGCAGACAACATCTAGGAGGTCAAATCGATTCAGGATGAAATAATACAATTATTGAAACTGGGATCGTTTGAGCTCAGCAAGTGGGCTTCAAATCACCCACAGCTATTAGATTCGCTTGATAGCCAAAGCAATAAGCCGATCCCTATCGAGGATAAAACTCCCATGTTCTGGAGATACAATGGAATCAAGGCGCTGACACGTTTCATTTTTCATACACGCCCTATGCAGAATACAAGGTCGTGTCAAAGCGAACTACATTATCTGAGGTCTCTATGTTGTTTGATTCCTTAGGTCTCATTGGTCCTACGATAGTTATCGCCAAATTAATACTCCAGGATCTTTAGAAACTAAGCGTACAGTGGGATGAATCTCCGCCGTTACACATACATACTCGTTGGTCAACAATCAAGTCGCAGCTGGTGGAATTAAATCAATTGACAATACCACGTCGAGTCAAGTTCGACGCCAATCCACAAGCCATCCAGATACATGGATTCTGTGATGCGAGCCAACACGCCTACGGAGCCTGCGTATACATCAAAACGAGGAAGGATTTCAACAATTATTGTGCGGAATTGCTCTGTTCTAAATCCCGCGTGGCGCCTTTGAAGGCCATATTGCTACCGCGTCTGGAACTTTCGGCGGCCCTACTATTGGCACGTCTCATCGAGAGGTTCAAAGCGGCAATAGACCTGTCGGACATCCAAATATATCTCTGGTCGGATTCAACCATCACCCTGAATTGGATAGCATCCCCATCTCGCAAATAAGTGGTATTTATTGCCAATTGAGCGGGAGAGATCCAGCGATTAACCGAGTCAAAATGCTGGCGTCATATACCGTCAGCTCAGAATTCAGCCAACATGCTGTCACGAGGACTCAACCCTCGTGATCTAATCAACGCTAGTACTTGGTGACATGGACTAAACTTTCTTCAGCTTGATTAAGAACACTGGCCAAGCAATGACTTTTCTCAGCTGGGCGAGGACGCTCCTGAAATGCGAAAGGTGTTCACTACCACCACCATTGTCGATTGTGACATAATCAACAAGTTGTTAATCAAGTATTCGAACCTGGACAAGGCCTGCCGTATTTTAGCTTACTGCTTGAGATTTGTAAAGACAAGCCCAAGGCAACAGATGTTTCATATCGCATGAAGAAACTTCAGCGGCATTGCATCTGATGTGTAAGCTAATTTAACGGCACTCCTTTCCCGAAGAATGTAAGGCGTTAACCGACGGCAAAACTATCAATCCCTCTAACAAGATTTTATCATTATCTCCGTTTTGGACGAACAAGGATTAGTTCGTGTAGGGGCAGATTGAAAAATTCAAATTTGTCTTTCGCGGCATGTCATCCCATATTGTAACCTCGTGATCAACAATTAACGAAACGAATAATAATGCGAGAGCATATAATACGCATAATAATACGCAACATGCATGCAGAAACCCAAGTTATTATGGCTGCCGTCAGACAGCAATTCTGGCCTCTATCTTTGAGATCCGCTGCACGTAAAATCATTTTAGGTTGTGTAAAATGTTTTAAGGCCAAGCCTACGTTTTCTGAAGCTTTAATGGCTCCCTTGCCCGCCAGTCGCGTAACAGTTTGAGGCCATTCTCGCATTGTGGAGTTGATTACGCGGATCCTATAACATTAAAGGAGGGTAAACGTCGAAATGCGCGAAATCATAAGGCATACATATCTGTTTTTGTTTGTTTTGCGACTAAGGCGATACACTTAGAGGTAGTAAGTGATTTAACCACTGAAACATTTATAGCCGCTTTCAAGCGTTTCATATCGCGTAGGGGGAAACCATCTCACATGTATTCCGATAACGGAACTACTTTCGTCGGCGCTCAAAATCAGCTTAAAGAATTCTTGGAATTTCTAAATAAAGACCGAACGCAGGACAATATAAAACAATTTCTTCGCGATCGACAAATTAGCTGGAATTTCATTCCTCCTCACTCGCCACACTGCGGCGGCTTATGAGAAGCAGCGGTGAAATTTGCGAAGTACCATATGACGCGCATCATTGGTAACGCTCATTTAACGTTTGAAGAGATGCAAACAGTTCTCTGGGAAATAGAAGCAATTTTGAACTCGCGTCCTATCACCGCGTTAAGCACAGATCCGAATGATCTTTTTTATATAAGTCCGAATCACTTCTTGATTGGTGCCGCTATGAATAGTCCCTCTTGTCCCGACCTAGGTGATGTAAACGAGAATCGCTTGGTACGATGGGAGCGAGTGGAGCAGCTAAGACAACACTTTTGGTGCAAATTCACTACAATCCCGCTCGAAGTGGAAGTCCGATAAGGGGCCTCAATTGCAGCCAGATTAAATAGTGCTTATAAAACAGTCAAACTTAGCTCCGTTGCATTGACTGCTAGGGCGCGTGACAGAAATTCGGAGCAGACGGGATTCCGTGTACTGCGACTGTTAAAACCGCCAAAGGTTCTTTTACGCGATCTTTGTCTAGCCTCGCGATAGTTCCCATGGAGTCGTTGGACACGACTTGTTAATTTCGTTCAAATTATTTGTATTCATTTTATCTATATGGTATATACCTTGTTCATCATTTATGTATTTTGTTTGCGTTTACCGCGTCTACGACTGTTTAGCTTAAGATAACTACTATGTATCTACAGGCAATATTATTCAATTTATTTGTAAGTTGCGATTTTTTGTTCTTTAAAGAACACATAGTCATGCAAACCAAAGAGCAATTTATTTTACGTTTATTTTAAAAGTCAGTTCTTTCAAGGCGGGCGGCGTTGTATAGTAAAAAACAATTTATTTCAATTTGTCTTTCGCGCGCAAATTTGGGACCGCGCCTTATCGAGCGTAGTAATATTCAGCAGAGAGCGTGCCTAGGAGCCCCACTCGGGTGAGCGGGCCAGAGCTAACTCGATCGCGGAGAGAAATATTGTGAAAGAAGAAGAGACAAAAATCTTTTCGACCACATCGTCGCTGACGTACTCTTTCCAGAGACACGTGTGGCGGGCACATGCCCTTAGCGTAATCATTATGCAACAAAAACTTAGTAGCAATATTTATTATTTTACGGTCATAATTGTTATACGGAATTTGCTATGTCATAATCGAATTTATGACATAAAATAATATAAAAGTCTACAAGTGTTGATAATCTCGAAACATTATTGAGCGTAAAGGTTAAACTTATATTAGCTTCCGTCGTTGTCTTTTACTTTGCGGTTTATACAAGAATGAAGTGGCGTTTAGCTTTTAGCTTTAACATCAAAGCTGAATTTCGCGTATATAGAAG